GCCAGGTAAGTTATGGATGTTGCCCTACTGGAAAATACTCCTGTCTATGTAATAATTTAACTGCAGAGTGTTTTTCTGAAGCCTGCTGTTCTAAGGACACTTTTAGGTGGCAAACCCTGCTGAACACAGTGGGATTTCTGAATGAACAGGGTATGTGGTTGCACTTGTATGTAGTCAAAGTCCTGCATATTATATTAGGGATCTCTGTAAAACCCTCTCAGATAAATTAATGTTAATGCCCCCAGATCTTAAATGAGTATAGGGAAGGAAACTGAGGCTGGGAGATGGTGTTGAGTTAAGGTAATACAGTGAATTTGTGGCTGACAAAATATTTGAAGTACTCTTGCTCTCTTGTGAAGCTATGTGATGTAGGAGAATGGCAGGGTTTATCCTCCCAGTGCAGCAGGTGTGTGTGTGTGTGTTGTGTGCTTTCAAATCATTTTTTTTTTACTTATTGCATCCTAAGGTGACCTTATCATGGGGTTTTCTTGGCAAGATTTGTTCAGAGGAGCTTTGCCATTGCCTTCCACTGAGGCTTAGAGCATGCAGTTTTCCCAAGGTCACCCAATGGGTTTCATAGCCAAGCGGTAATCGAACCCTGGTCTCCAGAGTCATAGTCCAATGCTCAAACCACTATGCCACACTGGCTTCTAGTGTAGCAGGGACTGGCATCATATTTGTGCCCATTGGCTACAACACTATCTTTCTTTCCTGGAAACTTCCTGAAGATCAGCAGTTGATAACTCATAGATTGCACTAGTCCATAGACCATCACTTTTGACAGTGTGTCTCCAATTGTCTGAAGTAGGGTGTGTGTGCTGATTTTTGTACTCCAGTGTGACAAAGACTAGTGTCATATATGTGACTAGAATTGTTTCTTTCTTTCCTAGAAACTCACCACAGACTGGTAGCCAATGGCACAGCTGTTGGCACCAGTTCAGAGACCATCACTTTGAGTAGCACCACTATACACTAAACCAGGGGTCCCCAGACTTTTTGATCCAGGTGCCGGTTCGCTGGCCCCCAGGTCTTCCGGGGAGCCGGAGGTGGCGGTGGCAGGCCGGTAGGAAGGCCTCGGTGGGCCGGTTCCGGCCCGCAGGACATAGTTTGGGAACCCATGCACTAAACTAAAACCAATGTTTATGTGCATATAATTATACTTGACAACTTTTAGCAGAATTACCTAATCCAGGGATTCCCGGACTTTTTAATCCGGGGGCTGGTTCGCTGGCCCCCAGATCTTCCGGGGGGGCCCGGTGCTGCGTGCG